TGTTGACAGAAAACTTGGCGAAGCGACTTTCCTCGCGGCGCTCACTGCCGTTACTGAACTGCAATGACCTCCTGGGGAGATACCATCTCAGCCTGTCGCTGAAGACGCTCCTCTTTTGCCATGAGTTGACGTTTTTTAGTATTTTTTGTTTAGTCCAATTTACTGATGACTAAAAAATGAATACGAAGCTACTTTAAGATATCCGTTTGGTTAATTTGAGGGTATTAAAAATGAACTGCTTGTAATCCTCTAAAAAAATCATTTTCTGACCAATAGATTAACAGACCATGTTTCGCTTGGCTCATTCACAATCAGCCAAGATAAAATGGTAGTTGGCTGACTAAAATTCCACTTCAAAGTTCGTTCGAGTATTCCTTAATAAATAAGCAACAAATTGAACAACCTTAGTATTCTCAACATTCGAATTTAATTCAGCAATCCATTTTTATAATATTGTTCTATGCATTTATTACTTCTTAAATATAGATGAACTTGCTTGCACAACTGGATGAAGAAGCCTAAGTAGTCTGCAAATGGCTCCATCAAATTTGAGTTTATACTATGATCATTTTGGAAATTATTATTATTATTTCGATTTGGAATTAACGTTAGGTCTTTAAAAATAATTGTTTTCTCGCCCAAAGTAAAGACAAATTTACTTCTGACGAACATTTCTTCAATAAGAGAAGTCTTATTTTAATGGCGCTGCTTCTTGTTACATTTCCTCGCCTATGTAGGGAGGCGGGGCCCTTGCTAGATTATTGTTCTGAAATTAAATTCACAGCGCATTTGAAATTATGCGACGCAGAGGCTTTGTCAGAATTTTACAAGTTCGTTTTCAATACCTCGCAATAATTTTTTTCATATTAGAAGGATGATCCGATAAATTATATTTATTGTGATATTTACTTGTTTTAAGTTTGCATCGATTTGATTCGTATTGTACGCATGTGGTGTGCTTTATTTTGTATCATGGTTAGGTGAATATAATTATTTACGCTTGGTGTTCGTTTCGGAATATTTTTAAAATAACATTGCGAAGAAACAACGAAGCATTGCCTACGGTGGTTTGAACTAAAAATGTACACTAAATAAAATTTTAATCACCAAAATAATCGAATTAAAATAAAATGTAACTCGATATCGACAAAATTCAAAGCACGTATAATATTCGCTTGGTGATATTTAAATGATTCTGTCTTCAGTTAACGTTTCATTAGCGATATATTATTGTAATAACAAGAAAGATAACTTGCTCAAGGTTTCTTGGAATTATCTTTGCAGCGTGCGTTTGACGGTTGTGTATAAGTTATCCATGGCGTTGATACGTTTTCTACATTAACTCATCCGGTTGTAGAAAACGGAAACGAACGTTATTGATAACTATCGTAAACGAGATAAAATATAAATACTCATCTGCGTAATTGATTATACAAACTTTTTGAGGTATTATTGCAGATTAACTACATCCAAAAAAAGGGTGTTTTTTTTTTGAATTATATGTTTTTTGGGGTGTAGATTACGAATCTGAAATCCATTTTTGGCGGTCGGCATCGGAAAACCGATTTTTTTCGCGACTTACTAACATGGGGGTTACGTAACTTACGTTACCCACTCACCTTTATTTACTAACATGGAGGTTACGTAACTTACGTTACCCACTCACCTTTATATAAAGGGTCGGATTGTTCATCGAAATTTTACAAAAAGCTCTTAGGTTGGGTTAAGTCAGCCAAGTTCCTTTTTTTAGATAGCATTTTGATCTAAAAGGAACCTGGGCGAACCAACCCAACCTGCGAGTTGGCGTTAGGTTGTGATCTCTCGATGTGGCAATGTATCTCCAGATTTATGGACAAAGAAGACGAAAATGTTACCCGTTGCAGTGCAACGGGTAACATTTTCGTCTTCTTTACCCGTTGCAGTGCAACGGGTAAGTTTCATTCAAGATGTCGTGCGCTACGTGTGATCTCTCGATGTGGCAATGTATCTCCAGATTTATGCGGAATAGCAGCCTATATCGTAACCTAACCTAACCTAACCTAACCTAGCGCGATTTTAGGGTTTTACATAGGTTTACAGTCATTCCCAGATCGATTTAGTTCAAAAATGTTTTCCGATTTTTCGCCGATTTCGCAGATTTTAGGCATTTTTAGCGCGATTTTTGGGTCGGAAAAAAATCGGTTTTCCGATGCCGACCGCCAAAAATGGATTTCAGATTCGTAATCTACACCCCAAAAAACATATAATTAAAAAAAAAACACCCTTTTTTTTGGATGTAGTTAATCTGCAATAATACCCGATTTGAAGTACGCACATCTGCGTTGTGATGCATCGTTTTAGGTTTGCACTCCTCACTCGTGCAGGTTTTGAACTTGGAGGATAGTGTTAGAAGTTTTGTTCATTGTACATCAATGCTATTGATAATTCTGCAAACAATAACTTTTTTGTCCAGAAAACAAAAACAGGTTAATTTGTCTGCCTACTCATTAGCGGTACTCATTTATTTTCATGTGGAAATATTTGGATTAAAGAAACACAAAAATGTTAATTTTTCGATCAATGTTGTTCTATTCCTTATTATTTTCTATATTGTCGGCTAATACCATCCTCTTAAATTTTAATTGCACTTTGTGGGTCATTAATCGCAATTAATTTTTTGTTCTTCCTCAGATCGCGATGGCTGCAGATTCTGGTGATTCTGGTCTATGCCAACCCTTCTGTGCGTAAGTCGAGACATGACATTATAACTAGTGAAGAAAAAAGAGTTATAATTAGTTTCTACAGGAAAAAGTCTGATTTATTATGCACAATAAATAAAACCCTAAATTCTCCATAATAAATTCTCCATAGCTAAGAAAGAAATAGTATCAGAGTTTGGTGCCCCGAAATGAAGCTGAAAAGATCGCTAAAAAAGCGCCTACAGCGCTCGGGATTTTCGTCTCGCATATGCGCCATAGCACGGAGCCAGATCTGCGTTCTCAGCTCACGCTCACATGTAGGAAATTTTCAACGCAACTTCAGAACACATTCCTTCGGAAGCACTGACAGTGATCTTGGCGGTCGGTTTTGCCGTGCCAGTAGAAGTTCATTTCGGAGAAAATGTTTCCCTTTAAGTGAGAATTGTCAACATTTGTCGAGTGACAGAAGCTCGATGGATTCTGGAAACAGCTCAGCGAGTTGCAGAAGCTCCATTGGCCTCACGCCCATCAGCCACACTCACGTGAGAGGAAGATGTGTCGTGGACCCAAACATTTACAATGAACTGATCAGCAGAAGAGAACCCACAATCTTTCGCTCCGTTTCGGATTGCGGGGAGATTGTTAGGACCGTGAGTGTTATATATTCAAGAGGAAAACTATTTGATGAAAGAAATAACTTTGTATTTGATGCGAGTCGAGAACCGAAGTCGATAGAATTGGAAAATAAAAATTCTGATTGTGAGTCATTGAGTTCAGGCAAGCTCAGTTTCTCCGAGGACTCGTGTATTAGTGATGATTGTGGTACTTGCGTCAATTCAGACGAAGAGCATGGCAAAATTTTATTGAATTCACGTACTGGCACGGCAAACGAACTTTCTGGACCTAGCCTACAGGAGGATGACCAGAGTAAACCTGAATCTGTATCAGCGGGAGATGAAAATTTTATCACTGAAGACACGGACTCAGGCAATGTTGTGAGTAATATTGATTTTAATTTAATTACATCTTCGAGTTCTCCTTTCGTGAGGGGCAGGCGATCTGAGCGATTGATCGCCATGGGACTAGAAGAAAATTTAACAGACCCGAAGCAAACTTTGATTGAACATGAATTATTAGAGGGAGAGATTAGTGAAGTGGCTTGCGTAGGCGCAATGGAATACGATGAAGGCCCAACAGACCCTGATGAAATTTCAAATAAAAATGAATCAATATTCGGCGTGACTAGTGAAATATCTAACGAACATCACGAAACTGACGAGACTCATCTCATCTATGAAGAACAAAATCAATCGGTCGTTGCCGGTGCTCAAGTGTTCTTCAGGAGACCGCTAATTTATGAAAGTAGTGACACTGAAAGCCATAGAAGTAATTCAAGTTTGCTGCAAACTGTAGGAGATATGCCTGAAGAATACATATCGTTGGAATCAGAAGGTTCCAGTTGTGTCACAAAAATACATAGGAATAATGTTGATATCGACTGGCAGGGAAGTACAAGTGATGTTGCATTATTTAGACTCCGCGTAAGTTCCATCCGACGATCGAGGAAGAGTGTAATATCCCGAGCGATGATATCGCGACAGAGTTACTCCCGCCGCCTCTCCAAGAACCTGGCGAGCCTGTCGCTTCTGGCGGCTGAGCCTGCCACCGGCGCCATCATCGACCCCGGCAACTGGAGTGATGATGAGCGCCTGAGCGTTAGTTGGTGCAGCGTTGGACGCCGCACCAATTCTGTCCATTCCCTTGCCGAATCCTCGGACAGTCAAGAAGATGCTCGGTACGAGTGGGATGCCGATGAAAAATCTGGAAACAACAGTGATCTTGATATTACTATATTCTTGGATAATGAGAGGGAAAATCATTATCACGACGGAACAGATGCTGACGATGAAGATGAATGTAGTAGAGACTTTAATGTGAATGAAGAATATGACGAATTTGAGGTGACAAATAACAATAATGAGGAAAGTGATAATAGCACTGGAGCGCATCTTACGTCAACAAATGACGAACTGGATTGCGAGCTAGAAGAAGGAAGCATTGTTGAAGACTGGGGGATCTATCATAACGCAGCCATCAAGCAAGAATGGCAGGAGATAAGAGAAGCTCTTGCTCAGGATTACTCTGACGAACAGGATGAGGATAACTGTGATGAAAATATCGGCGAGAAACAAAGAGTGTCGTGTGAGGAGAAAAAGTCGACAGTGAAAGTCATTGAAGAAGAATTGGAGGAAGAGAGGGAGGGTTGGGAAAAGAACGGACAGTCGGCTGGCGTAAACACATGTTGCGTCGGACGCCGCGTCTCGCCAGTTGCAATTGCTCCATCGTGTGGTGAGGATGTTAGTGCTGAGCTCAACAATAGCTCTTCTGCCGATGCCAAAGAAAGCGGAAATAATTCAACAGGCAACAGTTCACTATCGTTAGTAAATAGTGACAATTCTCTGGAGTGTTGGTGCAGTGATGATAGCACTTGCGTCGCTATGCCTTGTAAATCTTCTGGTATTCCCGTGTACCAAAAACGGACTCAAAACGAAAATAAAACGTCTATCGTAACTCCAGAAAAAAATAATGGGGGTATTAGATCAAAGCCGACCACGAAATGCACACATTTTCCTAGTAACAATGTGCCTTCCAAACGAACGTCCAGCAGTAAAATCTCTAATCGAGATGCTAGCCTATGTGAGCAGGCCAATCCTGGCAACGGTGGCAATAAATTATTCAAGTCAGAAACCTCGGTTGAACAGAAAAATGTCCAAACTTCAAAAGCGGTGGCATTGCCACACCCACATATGCGAACTCCGAAACCCACAGGAACTGCCACATTTCCTAAACCTACCACTCGGAACGGACGTATATCAATTAACGCCCTCCGTTCAGCCGATGACCGTAGCAAGCCCAAGACAAGCGCTTCAGTGAGACCAACGGCTCGTAGGCTCAAGAACCTTGACCCTGTCTCGAGCGATCGTCATCAGGTGCAGGATCGTTCAAGATCCAGGGATGGAGCTCCATACGCGGACTACATGAACTCATCCGCGAGTCATGTTGAAAACCTTGGTGATGACTCGCTATTTGCCAACAGTAATGACAGCGTTAGTCGAACTTGCACGATGTCTACGATATCGGTCATCGTTAGTGAATCGAAATCATCGTTAGGGAACGAAGAGTTGTCACTCGAAAAAAGTGAAGCCCTGGCATCTCCACTGAATCGCATGAAATGGAGGACAAGAAGTGGCCCAATTCGAAACAAGTCTCCATCATCGCCCGCTCCTATTAGACGTGACGTGTCGATTTCATCCCTGCGATCGTCGTTGCCTCTTCGACCCATGGTGGCCAAATCGGAAGAGACACTCAGGGTGCCGACTGCGGTTCCTCTAACTATGACCCAGCCCTTGACCGGGAAAGTGTCTCCTTCAAAAAGCACGCTGCCGGCTAGAAGTGCATTGCGAGGTAGCATAGTAAACAAGGTTATGGTTGGAGATACGCGCGTTAAAGGCAAAGGTAAAACAGAAATTAAAAAGTGTGTTCATGAAGCCGAAACTAAACCGACAATTGTTCCAGGAACTCGTAGTGTCCCCTGTGCAAGATTAAAATCTTCAAATCGAAACCGGCTGGAAAATTCCAGCTCGGAGCAAGTTTCATCAGAAACAAGTAGCTTGCTTTCAGTTGACGAATCTTCAAATAGAATTGTTTTCAAGTCTCTTGTAAATCATAAATCTGACAAAAATAGAAAAAATATTCATGCATACGAAAGTCATAAGAAGCGAAGCAGGAAGATTGTAACTCCCGGGATCGAAGTTTCGACTGACGAAGAAGAAACGGATGAATCCATGTGTGATGGAATTATTCCGACTGTTTTCAAGGTTTCTACAATTGATAAGATTTCCTCGCGCAGCTCAATAAAAACCATACGAGGCACCACGCATCGAAAGCATGAAGTTTTATCGAATAATGCCGAAAATTTGACCAGTCTTGCTTCACCCAAGAGTATCTCACAACCCATTCCGTTAATTACCAACTCCGAAGAAATTTCTATCATTGTCAAAGACGCTGAAAATAGTGATTTGAGCATCAAAATGTCAGAAAAAATACCACTCGCCACAAAGCTGGGAAGTAATAAATTAAAACCCAAAATAGAGCGGACGACCAGCCTTAGAGCTACCAAAGATCAAAGTTCGCCTCGTAAAAATCAAGCATTAGAATCTAACATTATTTTGAGTTCTCGGCCTACTAGCGCATCTTCCCTTCGAATTAAAAAATTAAAAAGCAATCCCACATCTTCGTCATCAATTACGACTCCTGTCGCACCATCGCGTGGCACTCAAAAACCAGAACAGGCGCTAGACAAATCATTAACACGTAATAAACTGAACTCCAGATCTTGTATTAAAAAATTTTCTCCGAAGGAATTGCGTGAAGATGGAAAAATTACGAATGAAAAGAGGACTGCAAGACAAGGAACCGTAGAGATGTGTGAGAAAGAAACTGCTCCAAGAAGTAGTCGCCTCACGAGCGGCGAAAACGCGCAGGTGAAAGCCAATGCTTCTCCCGCTCGCCGTTCAACACCTGGCATTTCTGTGTCCTGCAAGTCCGGCATAGCGGCCAGAAAAATTCTCCCAGATCAAACAAAGGAGGAACAATCAACGCTGCACAAGGCTGAAGAAAAGACAAATGACTTGATTGCCACCTCGTTAGAGGATATTAAAGAGTACACTCTTGAAGAAAATATCGAGGTAGCATCACCACGAATTTTAGGCAACCCTAGATTATCTTTCAAAAGTGAAAACAGACAAAGCCTCTCTGATACTTTCGCTTCTAGCTCGATATCTAATACTTGCATGCCATCGCCTGAAATTAATGTTCTCATAACCAGTAAAACCAGTCCAGGTTCTACCGAGACTCGCGCCTTGCAAAAAATGCTCAGCGAAAATGAGGCTGGAGCTGCAAGGAGTTCACCGGTGCCTGAACCGCCCGTGGCTTCGACCAGACTATCAGGCGATACTGTTCCCTCCGCAAACACCGATAAACTTCTACGTGTGAAAAACAATGATTTAGATGATAGCCTGCAAGATGGTTCTGTATCGGATGACGAGGAAACGAGAGGCTCTAATACCAGCAGGAATAGCTCACCCAAGTCAATTGATTTCACCAAGAGCCTGTTGGCAAGTCCAAAGAGACTTTCAGTCGATTTACCGCCCTGGACTGCGATGAAAAATAACACAATTGTTCATGTAACTGGTGATGATGACTGTGAAGTTCAAAACGGTCGGGTGACAGTTCGTGTAAACAGTGAGCCATATGTCAGTGGGGTTGGTTATTCAGTAAACAACAGCGTCCAGTTTGATAACAATTTCAGTGAGTCAGATTCTACTGAGCTTAAGCTTGAAAAAACATCTTCTGAATCAAGAATTGAAGTTGAATCGTGGAAAAATAATTTAATGGCAAAAGATCTTGCAAACACGAAAGCCGTTGAAGAAGATAGAAGTGAAGCAACGGTTGTGGTAAATCTTGAAAGCGAAATATCCAAGGGAGTCAACGAACCATGTATTTTACCACACATCAATAAATTGGTTTTGTTCACTGAGGCGGCAAACCAACATCCCGACATTTTGGCTTCGGATATTTTGCTGAAATCTAGTAGGCGGTCGTTAACTCGCATCTGTGCAGAAGAATATTTGGCGAGCGACGAAAATATCAACCGGATGGACACACGGTCAGAATCCTCTAACGCCCTAGTGGCACGTGATGAACCTCACGATTTTCGTGCTCAATTTTTCTCGAACGGTTTGGGACTGGGAGATGAGTCGTCCCGAAAAATCACGGCTGAAAGGTTTAAAAATACTATAAGCAAAAGTCGGGAGCTCCTAACGCAACTTGAATTGGAACATCGTCGATTGAAGGGCGAGTCTGAGCTACCAAATACGTGGCTTGAACGTGACCTCGGAGAGTGTCGGAGCGTAGAACTGATGATCAAAACTTATTCGGATGATACTTCTGTATCAAAATTTTATAATGAACAGATCATTTCTACTGGGAATCGGATAAGAAGAACTGAAATGAAAGAAAATCAGGTTCTTGACTGGCGACCTCCCCGAAAAGATACTCATCGTTCCGGGAGTGAGTCGCAGCGCAAACTCACTTCAGACGGACGGCATTTATTCCAATTTTTACACAAGCGAACGAAGAATGCAACGAATTACCGCATGAGTGAGAGACACACGCAGTCTCTGCGTGAAGGTTCCCACTATTCTCGCCGAAGTGCCGTGGAGCTTGAACTGCAGCCTGACCGGGGGCGGTCTTCGTCCACCTCCACGGAAAACCGGGACTTCCTCGAGCGAGAAGAAGAAGCTGTGTGCATCATGCAGCAACGCTCCCTGTCGCTTCCGAAGACATTTTTGGCGGACAAATATGGCCTGAGTGGCTTCAAAGCAGCTTTGCCAAGGTCAGTGAACGTTTACCAGATTCTCTAATTAAAACTTGCTTCAAGTCACTTGGTACAATTTTTTTATTTACGTGACTCGCATTATTTAAACGTTTTGAGAGTGTGGTTTATATCTTATTAAAGCCAAGAAATATTGACATGGCGAGTGTGCTGCGTCCCAACCCACCGAGGTAAGAACGCTTATTTATATGTAATATTGAACTTTGAACTATTTCGTGGATTCGTTTGATTTAAAATCCCGTAGAGACTTGCTCAATTAAGTTAAAATTTATGAGTTACTCTTACCATTTAGAGCTCAGTCACTGCTCCATTTTTGGCTCTTTATGTTGTATGAACGACTGCTAATGACTGTCGAAGCTGTGCCAGGACTGAGGTTTCTATTGTTATATGAACATTAGAACTTACTCGTCTGCTACTGCAATATAATGGGGAAAATGTCGACTTCGGCGCCTGACATTTAACTCTGTTAATGTCATTGTCCATGTGCTCATGTACCGTTTATTGTTCAGAAAATCTTGTATAAGGACTACAGCGTCAGCAATTGTATGGCCTTTTATTGTGAACGATCGAGAGATTTTTGTCCAAACTTCATTCAGACTAAATTATCGTTACAATTATAGTGTAATACTGAACAGGATTCAACAGGGCTATTCACATTTTCACGTTGATGTTCTTATATTTTAAATTGTCTAAAAAAATTGATATAAACTTTGTCAGTCTTGCATGGTCTCAGTCATGCTCTAGTTCAGTATTTTTTTCGGTGTAGGCAAAAACCTCGCCCTGAATTTAAGACATTTCAGCAACTTCCAATAAATAAAAAGCTATTGAAAAACCGAGGTAATATTTTCACTGAATTTTAACGTCCTTTTCTAGTGTGTGTTTCTTCTCCATAATAACTATGAATTTTAGCAAATAAATTCTATTCTATTGCTTAGCCTATAGGATCAAGACATCAACACTGTTATATCTAATTAACTATTAAGCGTGGCTATAGACATAGTGGAATATAGTTTATTGCTTAGTGAATATGCATACAGTGCGTTTCTTGTCTTTTTTTCTTTGTTTATTTACCTGTACTGTGCAGGAAAATAAGGCCTAGCTGTATGGGTACAACAATTTAGTTGGAAATCACTATTTGCTTTGACCAACTTTTGAGTTCAATTTATCGTGGTTGCGTGAGTAGGATGGCCATAACCCCATCTCCTCGTATATGGCATGTAACTGGAGCCCAACTACAAATAAGGCTTCTTCACTTCTTTGTATTGCGCTCTTCTGAGCTGAGCTTATGATCGTGCCATCATCTCTAGGTCACCCACTCATGAACGTCTATGTTGGGGCGTTTGCTAAATTTAGCAAGTAAGCATACAATCGCTGAGTGAATTACATTTTATACAAACGGTTCCACATCTTACATTTCCGCACGACAAATTTTCTGGAAAATTAATGTAACAATTTACATGGTGTTTATCAAGGCAAGCATGTTTGGGTGACTTAAATTACTGGATGGCAAAATAAAAAAAATTCCATTATGCACATGATTTTATGCGTAATTAGGAAATTTTCTCACTGTGGGCAAGCGCATTCGTATCTCAGATTTCTCCCATAGAACGCCTCCTCCTTCACATACTTGGGGCGCCTGGGCGTATTCTGGGCGTACACCTTGTCGACAGATCGACGCCCCCGGGAAATACGATGTGCGTGTGTATGATTAAAGATACTTCTGTTAAGGAAATATTCTAGGTGACTTGTTAAACTTCTTAGCTACTTTCAAATTAGTTTGACGTATCATATTATGTAGCACGATATATAGTATATTTTAATATAGTATAGTGATATTATAGCAATAGTATAGTAAAATTATAGTATAGTAGTGTCGGCGTTGAAGATGAGGCCAAGTCTTGCCTTTCGCGTATTCTTTTTATGCCCGAAACTAGCTCGCAGCTTATCGGAAAACTGGTCTTTCGAAATTATCTGTCCAGATAAAAATGGATCTGGTCATGATTTCTTTTGATTGCGGCCTTTGACCAAATTCATTTAGATTTGACTTTAACTAATTTGATCACACTTCGAATAATTTCTGTTCGTCTTCGTCACGTTCCATTATTCGTTTTTGAGTCGCATGCATGCTGTTGTTAAAGCTTAAGTTTGGCGTGCAGTTGTTCGCAGAGGACAGATACAGCAACGTGTGATTGTCGGCACGAAGCTTCTCTATTTGACGGACGAGCTGGAGAAACGCTCGGCCGTCCAGCCGAAGAAAGCTACCGTGCTTGTGGTTGCAGTGCGAGGCTTGTCCGTACCGGAAGCCATGACCTGCATAATAACCTACTAGTCGGTACTGTCCACTACTTATGGCATTACGAAAAAATTCGCAGCACTATAATACCATGTTAATGGCTTCGCTCTACTCGCCGTGAAAACAGGTAAGAACTTTGATCAAATGCTCGTGGCTGCTGCAATTGTGAATTCAGAGAATTCTTAAACTCTTGCATTTTTGAAGTTTAATTTCTCTGGGGTCTTAAAAATTTTCCTGTATTTGCCAAAATTACAATTTTGTTACTTCTCGTAGGTGGGTTTGATTAGTTTTTTGTCTCTTTACGTGACAATTCACGGTCACGTTCATCCGACATGCTCGACTCGCGCGCCGCAGTCTCAGATCGCCGCGACATCGTGGGAAAGGACAGACGTATTGCCGATCTCTTGAGACGTTCCGTCGTGTGGACGTGCGGCCACATTCACATCGCTGGGTTTCCGTCATAATTCTTCCCAGGACGCTGACTGTTTAGTTGTGATCCTGAATAGACGTGAATTAGAAATAATTCGTGCTCTAGTGGGCATCATATTCATGCCGCATTGTTTTGTTTTTCCGATGAAATTTTCGCAAACTTGTCCTTTATTTTCTCAAACGAAAACATTTAGAAGGCTGAATCCCGCGATTGCAGTCGGTTCATGGTAATGAATTTTCACCTGTTCTCAATTACGACTCAATGACGCAAAAATCATTTATCGGGGCCCGTGTTTCTGCAATCGCTGTCCCAGGTCCCAACTGTCCCCTCATTACCTCCACATCCTGGACCACGGCCGGTCGCGGCCCCCTCTCCCCCTCGGCAGGTGTCATCCGGCACATCGCACTTCCTCTGCCGTAAAAACAGCGCTCGATCATCGGCTTACTGGCGACCAGGGGCCGTACTATAAAAAATAGTTATAATCTGTAACTCATAAAGATTAGACTACCGTTCCTTTATTTCTTTACCGCCATGATAAGTCACTTCTGCTCTGTACTTATGATTAAACACCAAGAAATTCGCACTGCGTCAATTACAATGGATATACCTTTTACTGCTTCCCAAGTGATATTTTGTGTGCTAGATTGTTCAAATATGTGTGCTGGTGCTGACCTTTTAATTGTGAAGTTCCTTATAGACAATTTAATGTCAAAATAAGAATCAATCAGATTAGATCGATTTAAATAATTAAATAGATGTGCACCTTATGCTATAGTAACAATTAAAAGGTTTATTTAATGTACAAAGAATGGCCTCGATCAGCATGACTGGTCGTGAAAGGAAGCACCGTGAATGTCATGGATTACTTTCTAACTTCTGTAGAGTAAACTAAAATATAGTTTTCAGAATTCGATCGTATTCAACAAATGATAGTAGAAATATTCAAATAGGCTACGGACTTATTGATAAGTTAATTTCGCATAGGTTGATATCAAAGCTGCATGTGTTTTAGAGTTATTCGCTAAGGTTTTTCTGATACGCTTGACCTAGCGTGATCACCCCTACCATGATTGTGTGTCATCCTGTGGTTCGGTGCACACAAAGTACGTAGTCCCATAATTACGGACCAGAAGAAACAAATTGTGAAATGTGCTCACGAAAAACTTGTGCCAGGAGAGCACAGGGAAACTCTTTAATTTCGTTAAAAAATAGAATACAATTTAGTCATATATTTAAATCTTGTAATTCTTATTTCATTCATTATCCATACCTATTTGAGTTAAATATTCACGTATATGCCGTTACTTCGCGAACATTGATGAGCTTGCGCTTTGCTCGGTCGCTGCACAGAAATTCACATATAAAAGAACTTTCGTTTTTTCGTGACATACAATCAAGATTTTCAATGCAACCGGTCTATAAATGGGCAAATAATTTGGGAATTTTAGTTTTTTTTAGAATTAATGAATTTTAGGCTTTAAGGCTCCGTGATCGGGAGGCCGTTCCAAACGCATACTTCGTGTCTGGAGCCATCGTTCACTGGCAGAATTACGTAGCATTGCTGCGGAAAGCAAGTAGAACTGTAATCTTAGCTATTAATTCTAAAGGAAAGTGTACAGCTTTTGTTATTGCCTTGTATACGATCGAGGCGGAAGACTATTAAGTATTAAAATACCTGCACCACAACCGACGCTATCAAATCTTGAGTAAATTTATTTCATATGATAGATGTTGTATTTATTAAAAACTGCCTCAATGAAAGATGGAGTTGGCATTTTTACTGGAATTGAATTAAGGATAAATTAATTTATTAGCTTTTAGAATCCGGCCACTATATAAGCTGTTTGGTAGTGCGTGCTCCGGCCACTATAAGCTGCTTGGTAGTGCTTGCTCCGGCCACTATAGGCTGCTTGGTATATAGTGCGTGCTCTGGTCATTAAAGGCAACACACTACTGCGTGCTGCAGCCACTAAAGGAAACTCAGTAATTGAAGCAGACAATGATTCGTAATTGTCCTGACTCATGAGGCTCGGCCTTGGGCGTGGGTCGCTTCTCATTGTATAAGCACGCAGGTTCCGCTTGCCAACGCCTGGTCGCCGCTGCATGTACACAAACCGTTAACATTTGGCGTTGAGTCCCAAAGTGTGTCCGTTGAGTGCATCAAAATTGCACTCAACGTGTGTCCGCATTGAGGTTGAATAAACACAGGAAGATAAATGCCTCATCACTGTATATAGGCAGACGGCAGGCGATGCGTGTCTCGCCTGCGAGTCCGTT